CATCTTCAATTTGGTAGTTTAAGATTGAAATAAATGATAAAAATATAGCCAAAACAAAATAAATCATAAGCAAATGCAAATAAAAAAGAACTAAAGAATTATAAGGAATAAGAAGTCAGATGCAGACGAGAACTACTGTTCTCAAATGAAAAAAATCTATAATAACTCTGTCACTAAGAGAAGCTTGCAGATTCTATGCTGCTTTGCTCTTCCAAATAAATTTTATAGCAAGACAGAAACGGATGACCAAGGGAGAAGCTGGAACACAGGTTTTTCTACAGTTTCTTACTTTTTCAGATTTCAGAACGTTTTTATATCTTTCTCCTAATCTACCAACTATCCGATCCAAAAGCTCTTCATACGCCTAAACGACAACGCATGATAAACTAGAAAGCGAGGAGAGAAACGTTGAACAGATAGCTCACAGTTTCATCCGTTAGTTGCCCATATATCTCACTTGCAGCTGCCTGTTGTAACCATTTGTCTAACTGATCTGCAGCATCTTTGAACGACATCTTGGATATTAATTGAAATTCGAGTTTGATCTAAGTTAAAACATGAATAAATTACGCAGTTTGTAGCTTCAAGTACATAGGGTCTGTACTTATTAAAAATATGGCAGTAAAGCACTAGACGCAAACAGGATGTAAAATTAGTACACACACTTCGATACGCAGTTCTTTTTATCCTATAACCCTTTTACGCATTTACAACCCGTCGAAAGCGTTTTGATCGAATCTCCTTTTCTTTGGCGACTCATGTAAAGCAGAAAATGCTGATGGTTTTTGTTCTGCTGACTTACGAAATGTAAATCTGTGTGAATTGCCAGTTAGATAAGATTTGTTGCATTGATAAACCATTTTCATTTAAATATGCACGTCTTAAACGAAATGATTCGACAACTAATTGAGTTGTTTTACCAGTAGTCATTTCATCATTTTCATAATTATCATTTAATTGCTTAATCAATGTTTTCAAATCAGGACTGTCAGCTAGAAGAAGAAAAAGTTTGTTTGAACATCGCAGGACGATTGTTGGAAAGAATGAAAATTGTCTTCATTCTAAATAATACCGATAGACGTTGAACTAAAGTTAATGAAATATTTTTGAAATTTTTGTATCGTGTCGATTTGAAGAAACTATGCTTTTTTTCAAAAGCCATGCATGAGGTAAACCGTAATGGTCCGAAACAAATCATTTGATCTAAGAGATGAAGCAAGAAATGATGTTTCGGAATCCGATTACTATTTCCGAATGACTGATCGAAGGATAGAAAATATTTTATTAAAAGTCCTTTGAATTGTTCGATTGCTGTTACGTCGATTTCAGAAGAAAAAGAGAACGATACGATATCTCGCAATAACAGAAACGATTTCCAACAAACAGACTTCATTAATTGTTTCATACGTGCCTCACCGAGAGAAATTTGTTCTAGAATTAACGGTAAATATTTTGTGAATGTTAATGTTTCACTTGCGGATAGGCGAAATTTAACCTACAAAATAGAAGAAAAAAATGCACAAAGCATTTGCTTAACACAAAAAGGAGACAAAACAGTAGAAAATACTTATCTGACTCTCGCTTAATATAGCCAGATCAAAGTGTAAATACAGATCATAAACAAATAATGAAATAATAATGCAAAATGAAATCATAAATAAAAACAAACTTCTCTTCTCGATCCTTTTCTCTTCTTCTGTGGGATAAAATAGTAGACTTGAAGGTATGCATAGCAGAGAGTCTCATAATACGCTCTCTCTAGCTTTTTTATCATGACAAATGAATATTTCAGAGCTAAAAAATAAGCTTGCTGCCTACAACTTTATCATATATTACAATTTTTTTCAGTGTAGAATCTTGTCGTGAAATGTCAGACTGTGTCGGAAAAACTGAAACTTATTCTACCTTCATTCTGAAAAAATATAGAAAGTAATGTGGGTTTACCGTATCTTTCGCATATTTGATCTCGAACTTTTCTGATGGCGCCGATTCACCAGCCAGAAATGGAAACGTCCTAATCGTCATAGATAATAATGCTAATGAGCAATATTTTAACCTGTGAATTTCTTTAAATAACAATTTCAGCTGCTTTGGACAAATTCCTGGAAAGAGAAAAGAGATGAAAAGGTTTCGTTTTCCAAACGACATACCTTCCAACAAGATGTGCATCACATCTATGGTAGTTTGTTGGATTATATCAAAATCATGAATTTTTGTAAATGGTGATCTTGATACAATTTCAAATTTCTTTTGTAACGCTGCCTTTTTTCCTCCGTCAGTTTTTTCTATCTGCAGACATTGCGTCAGGTATTGTTTCATTGTTCGTTGTTTACAGATGCCCGGCTTCGATACAATTCGTAATCCGTCTCTTGACGTATTGCAAACGAAGTACGGTTTCAAACCATTTTTGAATCCTGATTTGAAACCGTGTAGTTGTGTCATTCCTGAACGAAACAGTGTCAGTTTTGTTAGTTCAATATACGTACGTTAGTTCAAACATACCTAAAAGATCTCCGCAGATCATAAATAATGAACCATCATAAGTTTCTTGTTTGTTTTCAACCGTGATCGTAATTCCATTTTCTTGTAAATTGTTTATCGAATCAAAGAAGTCAGCCAACACAGTCGCATACCCATATTGTCTAACCAGATGTTTTTCAACACTGGCCAGAAGAAACATACAACGATCCTGGCTACGTACATACCTAGCACAGAGAAACTCTATCATCCATAAGCTTAAAAGCACACATTCAGCGAGGGCTAACCTTAGTAAGTTTGCTAACGTCCAATAAAACATACAAACCGATTTATCTTTAGATCCTAATGGATTTTTAATTCCCAAATCGTCATAGTACAAAATGATTTTTAAACTGTTTGGATCTTTAAATAGCGGACTTTCCTGACAAAACGTTCCGCTGCTCAAATCGGTTAGAATTGTGGAATCTGATTTGCTTGCATTTGATAAATAACCTTTCACTCCAGGGAGAGATAAAACTTCTTTAAGCAACTCCGTGAATGGTATGTAATAAGACTTGTGATGTCGACAAACTTGTCTTTGTTTTTTTCTGCTAAATACAAATTGAGAAGCAAAGCGGGTAAGTGCAACCAAATACGACAGTCATACAAGGCAGGAAAGCGAGTAACTAGTACAGCAGCGAGTCCGTTCTACAGACTCACCAACCCTCGATCAGAAAAAATAAGCAGTAAAAAACGTTATTCTTTCCCATATTTCGCACGAAACGCAAGGCTAGTCTATAGTCTTACCGACTAGTCACGACTTACTCTATGCTTATTAAGTATTTTTGCTTTTGGTTGAATTATGTTAACTTGGCGAGCCAAAAAGTTTTCTCTAGTATATGTCGATCCAATTGTTTTTTAACATGCTCCAAATAATGTTCTCTCTGGAAGTGAACAAAGAAGAAAACACTCAATGTTATGCATGTCTACTAGTTTCATCATCCTTCGTTTATGTTTTTGTACTCCTCCATAATATCAATAATATCCTTCACACACACATTTACACAAATTTCAGAAGCATTATTCGATTTCAAGTTCATAACCCACTTTGTTATGTATACTTTAAGTCGATGTTCGGGCGTATCACTGTGCACGATGTGTTCGTGTAAAAGATCATTAGAATAAATTTCTATTGATGGAGCGGTCAACTTCCGTTGTGGTTCATCTTCTAAGTCAACATGGAGTTTGGCGTATGAAACTTCCGTTGATTCAGCTGATAATGCTTCACTTCGTTTGATTGTTGAGGCAAACGACGCATTACGTTCCTTGTCACTCAAAACCTTCGCAAAAACAAAGCTTTATCTAAAGTTTAGAAATTTTTCATTGTTTACTTTGTCTGGATGTTGATTTGAAAGATGTCGACGCCAGTTACGTATTTCTGTAAATGTGATGGGGCAAAATGGGCACGGTATAACGACTTTGTGTCTCGTACAATGATAAGTTTTCATATGAGTTGTACATGATGCTAGAGAGTCGAATGTGAATTGACAAATCGCACAAACAAATAAATTTTGCTCTAGCTCGTCGATTGCTGAAAAAATGACACAGGTCGCAGTTAATTTTTTTAGAAAACACAAGCTTTGCCAGATCTGATACATACCAATCCGTTTCTTCTCACACGAATTCATTTTGTCAATAGTAAGCCATGCGAATCTTTAATCTAAGCATATTTAGCCAGAAAAATTACAAGAAATCACAAGTATCTTGTTTTCTAACCGAAAACTACGCAACTTATGTAATTAAACGTTGAGGTGTAAATCGTAAATAAATAATATAACTATATTAAAATAAGACAAAAATGAAACTTAAATTATAAAAAAAATAATGTTTGTAAATAACAGGAAGAAAGCAAAGTGTAAGACTGATGGGCCTTTCGCAGGCTATCTCCAGAGCTATTCAGGAAATTCTCGTCAGTATAGATCTATTATTCTAAAATCAGAGGTCGAAAGAGTGGGTTGGGATGGTGACATTTAAAGTCCATTGCATGCAGAAAGCGCTCGTACTAAACCAAAATGCTCTGCAAGTGTCTCGACAAACTTGAAATAAGGAGAGAGATACAAAACAGTTTCTCTAGTGGACTTCTTAAAGGAATAATGCCTGTCGCCTATCCACAAAGGATGTCCATGGTTAGAATTACGGAAGACCTGCACGGCAAACTGACGAATTACAGTCTCTGGCAAATATTTATTTAAATATTTTAAAAATATAAATATTCTAGTTACAGAAAAAATATTAGTACTCGAGGAAAGGCGTGGTAGAGGAACGAAGTACGACTGCGATCAAGACGAAGACCAACATTATTTAAACAGCTTTTATTTTTTTATTAAATTCAATAATAACATTTTGTGCGGTAACTGTAGATGGTTTTCTTGTGTTATTAAACATAAAATGTTCCAATATTTCAAATAGCGCCTTATATGTCTTTGGATATTGTACATCAAACGTGTAGAATAATGCTACTAATGTAGCTAACATAAAGCCAAACGACGTTTTGGTATCATCGACATTGAAATCGAGCAAAATTTTGTTTGAAAATGTAATATACCAATAAATTTCGTTTCGACGCGTAAATTTGTACAATAACGGGCAAAGATTTCCTTGATCGAGCAAAGCCAGTATTTTTTGGACAAATGTTTCGCCGTCACCAATACCATCGTGTAGCTAAAAATTAAAAGGAAAATCCACAAAGCATCCTTCATCTTATGAAGGAAAAAATATAAAAATAGTTATCTGATTCTA